GTGACTTTAAATATCCATTCGCAATTCGTTTCCTTCCGTAGGTTTTAAGGTGGAATATCTCCATTCATAGATTATAAAGGGATAATAAAGAGTATGTTTTTGATAAAAGTACTATGTATTTTTATTTTCATGGACCATGGCCCCTTAAGTTACCAAATGGGAGTCATATACTACAACTACCAGAATGCTTTGCGATCCAAAGAATGGATACCTACTTAATTTAGATAAAGATTAAAATAATGATCATGGTAATCACGAGTATAATAATAATRAAAATATATAAAAATCTAATCTAATTATCAACTATTGTGGTATTAATCAATTATGTGAATCTATCCCGGCGTGCGTTGCGGCATGTGTACGCTTGAGTCAGTTCCAGCAGAGAGAGACGATGTTTCTGTAGAATTCCGGGACCGTCGCCACCCTTAAGCAAATCGAATTTTTTCCATAAGACATGTCCCTCTCCTCCGTGGAAATCATTTGTAAATGTCACGCAACGAAGCCATGGATCACTGCACAACCTTACAGTGTGTGCTTTTCAGTCTGTTCGGCTTCGTATACATCAAGTATACTAATCTAGTGGGCAAAGATGGAGTTCAACTTCAAAGGCAAACGTGCACTTGTCACTGGAGCAGGRAAAGGTATTGTGCTTTGATGAATATGGYTTGACTTTGGAAAAGGTTTCCTAGTCATTCAGTATCGTGATTTTCATGTTTCATTAAATTTSCATATGTAAAACTGTTTACTTATCTGCAATGGATGCATTTGTTGGTTAGAATTCTTTAAGCATGCATGTATTGCATGTGTTTTCTTGCTTTTTCCAACGTGCATGTCATCCATTACTGACGATGAAAAGATTGTTCAGTTTATGTTAAAACATGTAGTACTCTTTTAAGGATCAACATGCAGGTAGAACTCGTATGCAAGAGTTAATTTGCGTTTTGCCTTTCAAYATTTTGGGAAAATGAAACTGAAAAATCTTATTGAAATACTTTTTAATTTATACAAATAGCAGCATATATTTCCTACGGCTGTTAGCTGGGGCGGACATCTATATAGAGATRAAATCATAGGTGTATAAAAGTCGAKAGTACATCGAGTCAGTAATGTCAAGACTTGTTCAYCGTAGACGTCACGGCACATCAGTTCTTTCGACGAATATGTCTTGGAAAGCAAATAGTAGTACCCTTTTGCTTGCTATGGTCGGATTTTGCTGCGTCATTTATCTGTAAACTCAAATCACTAAAAACAATGAAAAGAAACGAAGCGGTCAGGTAAATTTTAGATAATTGTTCATTCCTTTGGGGTTTGCATCATGGTGCGGTTTTTCAAGTGACCTCCCCGACCTCAAACCACTTCATCAACCTCCTCAACCCACCCTCCCTTCACCCCTCCCTGTTCAATACAGAGAGCAAAACAAAATCGCAAAGAAACGGCATAAGTGCGGTTGAAGCATTTTTTTTAATTGCTGGTTTTACGAACATGTATATCGTCACTGATATTTATTCACACGCCATTATTTTTCCTGTTTTATCAAATTTATARCAGCGTCAGAAAGAGGAAAAGTAAAACAAAGAAAAACTTTAAGATAATGAAATCATTCTTTAATTTTTTACACTTAGGAATGGGAAGGAGCACAGCTATAGCTCTAGCACAATGCGGAGCTGAGGTTATCGCGCTAACAAGAACACAAGCTGATCTGGATTCGCTTGTAAAGGAGGTAGGCTTGTACTCGMTGTGTACCCTGGGAAGACTTTAAACTCCTTATCTATTTTAATGTGACTTACAATTTGTCCAACAGATGCCATCCATTAAGCCTTTATGTGTTGACCTGGGTAACATCGAGGAAGCAGTGAAAGCCATTGAAGAACAGGATGACATTCATTTTCTTGTCAATAATGCGGCGGTGATGAAAATGGATCCATTTTTGCAAGTGAAGCCTGAAGACTTTGATAAGTACAGCATGTATACTTACTATATTCAACGTTGAATTATACTAAATTCAGTTCTGTTGTTTTGTGTTTCAGGATGTCTGCAATCAATGTTAAAGCTCCACTTTTTGTTGGCCAGGTTAGAAGACTATTTWTTTTCCTGTAAATAMAAAATGAAAGGCGATGGGTGTTTATCCTTCTTCATTGCGGCACGAGTACTGAATATTTMCGAGGGACGCAGAACACACGCTCGAGTSRAAGTACCATTACCAACACATTTTACACACAMCACGATACRAAGCCCGCATGCTACCGTATAACCGCTTCATTTAAGTAGMTATTTATGRAGCGCTTTTACTAAAAGAGGGCTAAARTGGCGTAATAGATTCGGACTCCTTCGAATYAGGGAGGGAAMAAAGAAGCTTAAWTCAMAGGCGGATAGGGTCAGTYCGTTTCGCATAGGAACTTGGTCTTCAGTATAAGTTTCACAAGACATGCGCATGATACTAATGTAAATACCATTAGGCACTTGATGCACATGATGTAATTAAAAAACATTTGTTAAAGTACATAATTTGAGATTGTTATATCCYAGACCGTCGCCCGTAAGATGGTTGCAGGAGGCTATGGCGGTTCTATTGTCAATATTTCCAGTCAGGGATCGATGAGGGCGTTTGATGGAGGGTTTTCTCTATATTGTAAGTAAGAAACTGTCCAACATTATCATTATATTCACAGTTACTAATCGCGAAGTGTGCATTTATGTATCTAAATCTGTCGGACGGTTTAAGATTTTTTTATTCCCGTGCCTCAATACATATCTAGAGGCGCTGGAGCTTAAAACTCTCGAATAATAAGTTTGAAATTATTATTTTTAATAAAATATGAAAACTAAACATATAGTTAATTTCCAAAGAGCGAAACCAAAACTAAGAAATGTTTGACTAATTAATAGGCATTTTAGTTAGGTAAAGTCTGGTATAAAATAAAACACCAAGACTAACCAAGCTTTCATACGTGATTTTCAGGTTCAAATAAAGCKTCCGTAGACATGTTGACTAAAGTGATGGCGCTTGAATTAGGACCACACAAGGTAAAAGATGATATATGCTAAAAAGAACTACGACATCAGATTCACTTTAAGTAGAATTATGATCCATAACTTCTAC